ACACTAATTAACTTGTTTTGTTGATTAGTTTTATTTTTTATAATCATTTTATTTAGTTTTTTTTAAATATTTCCCGATCCGCGCGCTTTCGTGCGAGCCACGCTGGGAGCAAAGTTCGCCCTCTCGTCGAGGCGAACGTTTTGAGATGTTTTTTGAAAAATTCTTACGGCTAGAAAAAAAGATATGGATTTTTTTTGTATTTTTTAATTAAAAATCCAAAAAATCATGAGTTAAAATTTCTAATTGGTTTTTCCTCGATATCTCCTGATCCGCGCGCTTTCGAGTGAGGTGCACGGGGATCAGAGTTCGTCCTCTCATCGAGGCGAACGTTTTGAGACATTTTTTGAGAAATTCAAACAGCTAAAAAGCGAGGTATGATTTTTTTTGTATTTTTTTATTAAAAATTCCAAAAATTTTGATTTTCGTTTTACCGAAATGGTCGAGAAAATAAGCGAAATTAGGGGAACCCCGCAAGGACCAAAGTTGGTCCGTGTATTTTTCCCGACATTTTGAGACCCTAATCGGGGAAAACGGACTTCGTTTGGACAAATGGCGAGCTCCAACAGATAGAAAAGGTGGAAGAAAATCAACGGGAAATTGAATTTGTTTGTAATTTTGTTTAAATTAAAAGAAAAAGAAATTGAAAAATGTAATCCAATAAGTTTTTCTTCTAAAACTAGTGAAAGCTAACAAAATTTTTCTCGCGTCGAGCAGGGCTTTGCGGTGTTCGTGCGGTTGCGCGCAAAACCCAAAACCCTAATTAGGGAAAACCCTAATTAGGCTGAAGTCCTAACCCCTATTTTGACAGAAGCGGGTCGATAGAGGGAAGCCATAGCTTCTAGCTTCCGCATTTGTTACGGATTATTTTTTGTCAAATATATCCCGCAAGATTGTGGAAATTAATTCGCAAAGTTTTGCCCCATTAAATAATTAAGAATTATTTTACTTTTGATTTTGTTATTTAAAATTGATAAAAGAAATTGAAATAAATATTAAAAATTGCGTAGAGGCATTTGTTTGACTTCAATGCTCTTCATATCTACTTTACCTATTTGAGGGATTTTTTTCCGAACCCCATCTCACCGGGGGGGAAGGAAAACTGCTGTCGAAATTTCTCGAAATTTATCTTTTAATTTAAATTTTTGCTAATTAATTAACAAAAAAATTTAAAAATCGAGTTAAATCAAATTTTATTTTTTTTCCATTATTCCTTTTGTTATTCCCTCTTCGGCAGCGCTGTTTGAGGGCTTCGCCCGAACCCCATCCCAACGGGAGGAGGCGAAACGCTGCCGAAATTTTAGTAAATTTTCCAAATTTTATTTCTACCCCTAAAAATCATCAAACTTGGCGGACTTATATATGTATTGATCCTTAATACATATAAACTAAGAAATAAATTTTATCTTAATTAAATACATTTTCTTTAATTTATAATTGAAAAATACGAAAGAATTCTCTCGAAGAAGAAGGGAAAGAGACGCTGTGGAAACCTGGTTTCGAGTGAACCTACTAGCTTGTTTCCGAAGGCGTGAGGCGAGCGACGAGAATTTTTCAGTTATTAATCTACACCTCCCTCTTGCTGCGTTGTCTCTAGCTGCCAGTTGAATGTGGCCGCGGGTGCAAGTAGAGGTCTATGGGGCAAGTATTGACTGGGACTTGGAGCCCCCTGAACTCATAGAGGTGGATCTGGTCGAGCTCACGATCCCCGGGCGCAACATTCGACACGTTGACGGCCAGTTTGCGTGGAGGTCCATAATCTTGTCCGAGGATGTGTGGCTTTGGACGTACAGAGAGCACCGGCCGGGGCAAGGAGTGAGCGTAGTGAGAGCCTACTTGTATTTGGGACCGAGTGCGGTCAGGGAGGCCGTGGTGGGCCTCGCGACGACAGGGACTAGTGGCACAGTTAGCAGGGCGTTACGCTACCTAGGGGAAGAGGTAGCTGCCTTCCGAGCAGAGGACTCGAGCGACCCGTTGACCCTATTTCACGGACGCCCTCCTCTTGATATCACGAGCGCGCTGGTGGTAACACGGGACGGGTTTTTCCCGTACAGCATTAGGAGTCTGCGGGCGATAGTTCCGACGTTCGTAGTAGAGAGCGTCTTTGGAGGTATTGGTGGAGTGGTCGAGACATACCTGGCCTATCAGGATCTCAAGATCCTGGCGAGAAGGCCTGCCGACCTAGACTACATCTATTATTCGCTCGGAATCGGTGGGCCTCGTTGGGGAGACCAGAGGGTTCAACTTATAGAGCTGATCCGCTCGATAGACGACGAGTAACCCCAGTCTCCGTGCGTTTGGGATTGGCTAGACCGTGAGCTCCGAGCAGGCCCCGAGTACGTGACCTGCATCGGGCGGCTCTTCTCAGACGACTGGGAGAGCTGGTGGGGTGAGGACGCCGGGCGACCTCTGATATACAGCCATCAGTTGGCGGAATACTACCAGGGTATAGGACAGGCGCCATACCGCGTCGAGGACGAGTTTGACGACGAGGGTTGGGAGCGAGAGGGCGACGAGGACGCCTGGGAGCCAGACTGGGTCGACCCAAAGAGTGAGGTTGACGAGGAGGAGATTGACGTTACAGACGCCAATTTTTCCAGGATAGGAGCAGCAGCCCGGGCGTAGGAGGTAGAGGAGCACATTAGGGCGACGGTTGAGTGAGTTTGGCTACTGATCCTACTCGACCATACTGGACCTGAGTGCGTGAGTTGTCTGAAGGGTTAGCAACGTCGAGAGATGGGGTGCATCGGAGGGAGTAGAGTGGTGCTGACCGAGAGTAGGAGGAGAGATGAGGAGTGATTTAGTGGCCTGGTTAGCTTATGTTCTCTCACGAGAGTCCGAATCGTATAGTGTGAGGAAGCTTGTGGGACCCAGAGAGACGACGGTTGGATACGACATACCACTTCCTATGGCGTTTAAAGAGGCAGGGCGTGTACCGATACGATACTTGGGAACGTGGCTCGCAGAGGGGCTCTTCCTTTGGACAGTAATACTATGAGACGAACGACCCGAGATGACTCATGAGCTAGAAGGGGTCGGACATCTGATAGCGGATAGAGCAAACGATTTAGAGATAGGACTGACACTCGCAGGGGCGAGCAGGAGTTGGTGGAGAAGCGAGTCGTTGGCCAGAGTGATCGTTAATCAGCAACTGGCGAGACTCTCTGGAGGGAGGACGAGTTGGAGCTGCTTGKTATACGGTCCACCACATCCGACCCTCTACCCGAGAGAGGATTGGCGATTCGGACTTCCTACCTTCGTGATAGGGCAGACCTATAGGAGCGTGGATCGTTTGAGTAGAGCAGTGGACCACACACTTTACGCGCTCTGGGAGGGCTTAGCGCCCCGCTTCAAGGAAGTATACTACGCCATTTGTGTGAGGTGGGGCCCGCCCAGTAGAGAGACACTTGACGACATCATAGACGTTACTAGCTGGGTGGACTGTCTGAGGCCAATCGATCTGATTAGGTACTGCAAGAGACGGGCAGAGATCGATTTCGCGGGGCTAAAGGATGTGAGATTTCTCTTCGAGGCCGCAGCTTAGAGAATGCCGGGAAGGACGGCCACGGTGATGCGTGTAGGAGAGCAACAGGTAAGCGCAGGATACACTATGACAGTACTTCTCCGAGCGTACGTAGACGAGGACTTGACAGCGAGTGAGTGCAGACAACGAGCCAGGGATTTGATCCATGAGCGTAGAGCAGATGTACTGGCGCAAGTGACCTTCCAGACCTCGATTTCCTATGATGTGATGATATGGTCTCATGGTTATATGCGCGCGGAGCACTACCACGATGAGACGGTAGCGGAGGCTGGAGCGAGGGTGAGAGAATGAGCTGGAAAAAGATGTGGACTGAGTATGGAAGAGGAGAGTGAGGCAGTCGGAAGAGTGAGAAAGCGCGTTAAAGAACCACTCCTGAACCAGGTAAAGAAGTTGGGGAACAAGTTAAGGGAGATCTGGTCGTGTCATGATGAGGGCAAGTTGCGTAGGGCTGAACTCGTGACGAGAGAGTTAGAGAATCTGTTTAGGGAGGAAAGAGACATTATCCAGGCGTGGAGATCAGACTTTCTGGAGATGGTAAAGAGAAGCATATCACGTGAAGAAACTAGTGAGCGATATGCAGAGAGCGAGACAACGGAATACAAAGTAACGCAGGGAAGTAGCGACAGGGCATGAGCGGGGAACAGGACTTTGGATTGGAATAGAAGGAGGACGGAGGATAAAATACGTACTCCAAGTGACACCTTTCTAAGGGCGGTCTCGGATAAGGGCATGGTACGAGACGACCAGAGAGGCTGAGAGATTGAAGATAAGCGAAGCCAGGAAAGATGGAGAGTTAGGGAGAGTTGTAACAGATGGTGCAATACTCAGGGTGTTAGCCGCTCACGACCGGTACTGGAAGGAATCGATAAAGACTTTAGAGGCGATAGAGGATGGTGGAGATAAGGAGGACTTT